GGGATCTTCATGTGTCCCGCTGTCACTGCGCCGCGCCCATTATCAGAGATCTGCGAAGTCACTGTTGGTCAGATATGGCTGCGAAAATCGGTGCCGAGATTACCAGCAAAATGTTGGCAAGAAAATCGCTCAAATTCAAGTCTGCTGCGTTTCGAGTGCAACTCCTGCAAAGTTACGGTCACGCTGTCTCTGACAAACATGTTGAGCTGCACTTGTTCCCAATCGTGTTGCGCGCGACAGGTTGGAAAGGAGCGCCAAAAAAGATCACGATGACAAACTGAAACACCGTGAAGGACTTGTTGAAATCGTCCATCTGGCGTCAAACTGTTGCACCCATGGCTGCGCAGAAATATGTGTGTCTGCGTGTGCACTTGAGCGCTCACACATGCTGTACACGGTGCTTGTACGCACCATGTGGTGAAACTGCTATTGCTGTGTTCAATGCTGGCCAAGAAGGCCTGCGTTGCACAAGCGACGCATCAGTGTTTCTGCTGACGCGTATACTTGGTGAGAATATCGGCGGTGTTGTAGTGAGCGCCGATCTTCAAGATCACCAGGACTCCTGGTGAACGAGCTGTTGAATGAACAGGTGTTTGAGATCGACGGGTTTTGCTTTCTTGCTGGTTCCGACCCTTGTCGCTACGCTTTTGCCGCTGCTGCTGTCTGTGAAAAACCCTCATGTTGAGCCTGCTTGCTAACCCTGATTCCAAGATGAAGTTCTTGGCGCGTAGTCCTTCTGTGGCTCCAGTCTAGTGTTGATGGCGTAGGCGTAGAGTTCTACTGTTGCTTGCGTTCGACTGCCAAAATTGATTGTTGACCCGAGGAATCGGGTCACGAATCCTGTGGTGGATCTTCGTGTTGTTGGACAGCCTGCCCAGTAGGCGTCCACAAAGATGTCCAGGTCTAGGGCGCTGTCGTTGTTGGCTAGTCTGGTTGGCTGAATCACGAACTTGTGGTGTTGTGTTCCTTCGGGTAGCGTAGAAGGCGCTTCGCCTTCTTTTGGCTGAGTGCTGTTGGCTGTTGTAGGGACCTGGCTAGTTCCTTGGTTGCGTAGCACAGGTCTGGTTTGGCGTAAGTCATCCATTGTAGTTTGCCCGCAATTCATCTGTATTTTTTGTGTTGAGTGGAGTGTCATCTTACACTGTTGCTTTCAGGGACGCCGTCTCTGGAGTGGTAGCGGGGTTGCACTGTTCCATGCTCGTCTCCTGTAGAAGTGTTGTTGTGTAGCTGTCTGCCAGGCTGATCTCAAAGTGGTCTCCTTTATGGGTAATGTTTCGGCCAAGGAATGTGATGGTCTGTCCCATGGTGAGTGTTCCTGTTGGACGTAGTAGAAGTTGTTTTTGCAAAGCGCGGAACGATGCGGAACGTGTCTTGTACCTCCTGTGGTTCTCCTACAAAGGAGATCGTCTACATATGCCATGACAACTGTCCCGGCGCTGTTGCAGTAGACATTGGGCTCTGCTTTCAGCCTCCGCATGTTGAGCTGCTGCAGTGTTTGCACCAGGTGGTCCTGCTAGGCCTTTGGCGAAGACCTGATGCCATAAATGGCCTTCCTAGAGAGCCAGGAGTGTTGTAATTCAAGCCTTTGAAGGCATACAAAAGCTTATCTTGACTAGCTGGTCTTGAAGGCTTAAAAGATAAGCCTTCTAGATATTAACATCGTGAGCAACATGAACACCACCATATTGGCACGTTGAACTGCTTATGCACGGCGCGCTTAAGCGCTTGCATGCGCACACAATGCACTGCAGCACCGCCAATCTTGAGCCTTTTTAGGAACCCAAAGTATCTCATTAAGAGATACTTTGATTAGATATGTATATATATGTTCACACTTAATATACACACTCACACACACACACCAAAAAACGGTAAAGTTTGCAGAGTTCTCTGTGCGTTTTCGTTTGGGAGCGATGGATGCCCGCAGCCAGCCGATCGAGTCTTATGTAGCGGTACAGAATTCTTAAGTTTGAAGGAGTGACCCTAGATGTGTTCACAGAATCGACCGACTCAAGTTCCATGTCAATCTCCTCTAAAGTTCTGAGTGTGTTTTTTCCATCGTTTGTCCATCTCCACCCCATGCCGCGAAACTGCTGGCATTTCTCCAGTGGACTTCGAGCAGCGGTGTCTGGGCTCATTGAAAGCGACGCGGGTGAAGACTTGCTCATCGAGAGCTGTGCACAAACAATTCCAACAAACCTGTATAGCGGCTTAAGGTTGTTACCTCCATAGTGTTCACATGGCACCGGCTAGCGATCTTTGACACCTGATGCATCAGGTCTTCGTCTTGATAGCAGTGTTCGAACCTCATGATCGAAGCCGGAGGGTAACTGTTCGAACCGTTGTTAAGTCGGCTAGATGCTATAAGTGTCTTTTGGTGGAAATATTTGGAACAACAAAAACTTTGTTTGCCTTTCAGTTGAGGAGCCTGGGGTTGCGTCTGCATGACGTTATATAGAAAGTCAGCTCGAGTAATGAGTGAAACTTGGGGGTTATTTTAAATGTCCTTCGGTCTCCTTCTTTTTTGCGGTCTGCAGACGCAAGCCGTTGGTATTCGAGCAATCCCGTGCGAGCGGCCTGGACAACCTTCCCTGTAGTGTCACAGTCAAAGAAGGGACCATTGGAGTCCATCAGGTATTGGAAGAGTGCGAACTGGTGCATTGTTCGATATCTTTGCTCCCCACCAGAAACTCCACGTTCTTCTTTCAGATATTGCGCACACCAGTAAATCATGCATTTGACCACTGCAGCTTTGTAGATCGATCCCAACTCAGGAAAGGAACTCCAAGTTTCTTTCCCGAAACGCGTAGCCGAAAACCTATGTGAACACGATGTGGCATGCGGCGCCCTGTCCCTACACCATTTTTTGTAATGGGCGTAGACCTCTTTGGATAACCTGGCATCCATATCTTTCAAAGTAATCCCAACGTGTTTGCACTGTAGGCTGTCACACACAAGACTGGCCACCAGGATGCATCCTACTCCTTGATGAAAAACATGGAGTACATCCTGAGATCCGTGCCATGGTGGAAAGGTGGAAGATGTGGAATATAGGACAGGTGTCTTCTCCACAAAAACTATAAACAAATATATACACAAGAATGCTTTACTTGGAAAGGCGAGCTTCCTCTAAGTTCCTCTCTTTACACCACCCTGGAACTGCTTCCCACGCTGATTGTCTATCCCCTTGAAGGATCCGATATTCAGCGTGAGTGAACCGGTGTCTCAAACAGTTCGCACTCATGCGAAAATCACCGTAGGTGAATTGAGGCTCCCGAGACGCCATGCAGTGTTCGCAGATGTATTTTGCATTGTAATACCGAATGCTCTTGTGTATGATCTGACGCGCCTCCCAATCTCCCTTGAAACCTGCAAACGCAAGTTTCCAGCCACCTGCGAACTCCAAGCCGGCCCTTGCAGCTTGCGGTGAATCTGGGTGAAAGGCGTGTCCATCAACGTTTGTGTCAGGAAACTTGCCACTCATCAATGTTCTTACGATGTATCCAATGGCATGTCCAACCCGGTCATGGGATTTGTACTTGATCACCATCATCTCACGTAGAAGCAAAAGCACGATCTTTGTTTCTAATGAACCTCCTTTTCTGCAAGCGCTGCTATAGGAGTATGTCCATGCTTTTTTGTTTTTGTATATTTTAACACCGTCGGCGTGGAAGAACAACGGCACGCATGTGCGATAATCAGACCTTGTAAGATTGAGCTGCCCAAAGAAACTAAGATGTTCACAATGTCTCCAATATTCTTCCAAACGATCACCAGCTTCACTAGGATTGTCGGAAACCCACTGAAAAAAGTTCCCTGATTTCCAAAGCCATGCCAGAACATCCCATGGCCAGAGGATGGCAATTGGGTGGTCCATCTCATGTTCTTCCCCGTGCGCGTCCATCACACTCAGAGGAACACTCAGCTCACCAGGTTGAACTTCGCAAACATCCCGAAGCCACCTGCGGTTGTCCGATAGTATCCGATAGTATCTATGAAACACATCTTACCAGCGTACCTCTTTAAGAGCAAGAAGTATATAAGTATGTCATCTATGAACATACAGTTGAAACATGTTGAAACATGTTTTACCTTTTTTGGCGCGCGATTCACGCCGCGCCTCGAAAAACTTCGTTCTTCGTGACCCCCATGGCCCCACTTGGCCAATGTTCTAGCCAGGTCACAATCCACCCCATCATCAAGCAAGCGTTGTGCATCTTGACAGGCATCTCTAGCAGATGTAGCCTAGGGCATTGCACGCGCAAAACTCACATCAAGCTTTTAGCAGTAGCTCTCGTGGCATGATGATGACAACCAAAAACTCTAAAGACCATTGACCCATTGTGACTCTCGACGCTGTTTTGGGTCCCCTGACGCCACTGCAGATTTTCCGCAAATAGCGGAGGCTGGAACTCGAAGCGTCCTTGACCATCTCAAGGCCTTAGATGGTCGACTTATGGGACGCCCTAAACAAAATGGGAGATTCTAATCCCAAGATGAGCCCAAGAACCCACCTCTTATGACCCAGACCTCGAACCTAGACAACATCATGGCTATGCGATCTGAGGCGCCAGATTTGGAAGAAGGCTTCTGCGAAGATGGCCTGGTAGGAGACCTGGATCGTGATGTTGGTGATCTGGACATGCGGTGGGTTTTTAAGTACTTCTATGCATGTGAATATGTGTCCTCGCGAGCTGACAGAAAACCCTTTTCACGTTTCCTTTCGATGCAGATCCTCGCAGGTAAGCCCCGAGGCAATTTGCTAATGTAGCCGAGGTAATCCCCGAGATTGAATGCGACCGTGCAGCACCACTGAGCTAGAGCTAGAAGAAATTCAGTGTTGTTAGCTGTTATTGTTTAAATGGTTGGAAGCACCAAAAAGAAAAGAACATAATCATCAGAGAGAACTATCAATTGCTGGCTTGGTCAGTCACTCAATTGTCAACCCCCGAAAAGATTGGCCACGGGCTTCGCGGCGCACAAGATTGGGCTCAGTGAAACTAGGAAGTAGTGGGGCCTTTGGCCTCTGCGCTAGCTGTATTGGGGTCTTTCTCATCCTTGTTGGATTTCTTTGGCTTCACTGGCTTGTCAGATGCCCTGATCAATGCCTTTGCAAGATCAATTCTGTCCTTCGCAATCTTGGTGTCCTGCTCCACCTGTCCACGCGGTAACACACATACACATGCAAAAACATATGTGAACATATGGATTGAAGTCGAATGCACTGAACAAAGGTTGATACGATCAGCGTGATCCGACTAGAGCATGTACTAAGCCCTTACCTGTGCTTCGAGTTCGCGATAATGCTTCTTCTTGTTGCACTTCTTGGCGATCTTCGTTTGCAACACATCAGCGTGATGCTGCAATTTGACGGAGCAAGCTTTCAGCTGCGCAATGAGATCAGTCGACAAGGATAGAGGCCGCAATTTAAATGCTTGGTCCCTCAGCAATGCATCGTGTACCAAAAGATAACAAATAATCTGTTGACATGAAGTGATACTGATAACATACTCTTTCCAGACACCACCAGTAACACACCAAGTTACCTGCAGCTGTTTGCATCCTTGAGAACACGCTGCAGCAAGGATTGAGCTTTGTTGAGGGGCTCTTCAATCTCCACCTGAAAGAAACAATATGAACATTACCCCCATAAATTGACAGAACATTAGAAACTGACCTGCATGAAATAGGCTCTAGCCTTCTTAGCATCCTCCTTCTTTGGGACCTCCTTGGGACCGCCTTTGCCTTTCTTAATCTTACCTGAACCGAAGGATCCCATAGCGGCAGCCACGTTCTTCATACCTCCGGGGCCAGACAGCTCAGAGATCGATAGGTGCTGGTTCCCATCAAGGCATCCACCAGCCTGGGATCATGTGCTGTCGTTTTAGGTTCATTTACATATATATATATGTATATATATAGAAGAGCTTCAAGGTCTTTGGAGCTTCAGGTATGAATGCACATCATATTTGTTCACCAAAGTATGATCGACAAGAAACTTCAACAAAGGCCTTTAGGCCATCAGCATCCAGATGGCCGGACATCTCAATCTGGGTTATTCGACGCAGTTCCTTCACATCATCGATGTTGAACTCGACCATCACAAAGTATAACAAGCAATCTGGCTCACCCGGAAGCTCAGGGTCAGGAATTGTCCTTTGCCGCGTGAGGACTGATCAAAGAAGATGGTCGCTCTATGGAAGGGAAGAGAGGCTTGGTTCTGGGAGTTTTGGGATGGGTTTGGGCTGAACTAGAAGAAGACCATCTACCATTTCAAGACGTGGCTATCAAGCTATAGGTTTCTGATAGCGCCAAGTCTCAACCCCATCTCCCGTTTCCGCTTCATGATCTTGACGGCTTTGGTGTCACCATGGTTTTTCCTCAACCACTGTTCATTGCGAAAGCCATACCTGAGCTTGGTCCTTTGAGTCTCTTCCAGCTTATGCTCGAACTTAGCGCTGACCTGCCCGAAGTCACCCGATTCGAGATAGTCAGCAAAGAGCTGCCGGCGAGTCTCCGAGCTCTTGCAAGCTGCGATGATCTTCGCAGGACACCGACGCGAATTCTTGAGCCACCGTGAGAACTGCTGCCATTCTTTGCGATGGCTTGTTGAATTCTTGGTCAGCTCCTCTTCTGCGTCCTTCAGCTCATTCTTCTTTTCCTTCTTCTTCTCCTCCCTTTCCTTGCCATCATCATCCTCCTTTTCCTTGCGCTCCTTGCGCTCCTTGCGCTTGACCTTCTCTGTCTTCTCTTGCTTCTTTTCCTTCTTCTTCTTCTTCTTTGTTTTCTCTTCTTCGCTGTCGCTGCCATCACTTCCACGGCGTCTTTTCTTTTCTTTAGGACGAGGCTCTTCAGACTCCGACTCTTCCTCCTCCTCCTCCTCTTCTTCTTGCTCCTCAGCCTCTGTGCCATCATCATCTTCATCTTCCGAAGATTCAGCTTCATCTTCCGAAGACTCACTCTCCTCATCTTCCTTTGCTGTCTTCAATATGCCTTTCTTGCCTTTATTTGCTGGCTCACTGTCCTCATCCTCTTCATCTCCACTGGCACTGTCTGAGTCCTCCTCAGCTTCATCCTCGCTAGCCGATTCCTTGACATCATCGCTTGATGTATCCTCACTGTCCTCATCATCACTGTCATTCGGACTGGGCACAGCCACCGGTTCCTCCTCACTTTTAGCCTTCTTCTTCTCTTCCTCACTTTTAGCCTTCTTCTTCTCTTCCTCCTCACTTTTAGCCTTCTTCTTCTTCGTCTCTGCATCCTCACTTTTAGCCTTCTTGTCCTTCTCTTCCTCCTCAGTTTTAGACTTCTTGTTCTTCTCTTCACTTCTGAGCTTTGTGCTTTCCTTGGCATTCTCTGCCACCTGTCGCTTTTTGGACTGCGCCTTGTTCTCCTTCACTTCTCCATCATCCTTCACTTTCTTCCCCTTCACTTCTTCACGTGCTTCTTTCTTCTCCTTGGTCTTCTTCTTAGTCGTCTTCTCTTCCTCCTCCTTTCCCTTAGTCTTCTTCTTCTCTGCTTTTTCTCCTTTCTTCTTTGCTTCAGCTTTGCTCTTCTTGGATACCTTCTTGTCAGTCACCTCTGGCTCCTCCCGCTTGACTTTGTATCGGTCCCACCACTGTCTCATTTGTTTTAATGACAATTTTTTTCTTTTCAGTAGGAGACCTCGTACAATCCCTGGTGCTTTCTTAAAGATACCCGGTCGTTCAAACCTTTTCCAATACCGTTCATAAAAGCGCGCAGTCTCCTCATCTGATGAGGATTCATCGTCGCTCACCTTCTTGCCCTTCGTTTTCTTTTGGTCCTGCAGGGATATGAGGCTTTATGGTATAGGAGCTGTTGCTGGATGAAGGCTAGGTTCAACAGACTGGGCGCAGGGATATGAGGCTTTATGGTATAGGAGCTGTTGCTGGATGAAGGCTAGGTTCAACAGACTGGGTTGCCATGTCTACACATCTAGAACTGAAGTCCTTAAGGCCATCCAAAATGGCATCAGCTTGACGAAGGTTTGGCTCTGGTGCTTTGTTCTCAGCCCTGATGTCAAAGATGGTGTTCTTGCCAAAGGTAAGCCCACGCCTAGTTGAATCGCTGCTGCTTCGCTTGTCCTTAGACTTTGCTGTTCTAGGTGGTGGTGTCACAAAAGGATCTCCCTTGCCATTCTTCTCCTTAGCTGCTTTCTTCAAAGCCTTTGGATCCGGTGAGCGCCCTCGGGGCGCTGACTTCCCACGATGCCTTCTGAAGACTTGCTCTGCAGACATGGCGCTATCAGAAGCTATTAGCAAGCGCTCAACCCCCCTACAAATGATCCACTAAAAATCAACGATGGTAGCTGGTTGTTTCAAAGGCATTGCCACAAACCACTGGACAATGATAGCTAGTTGTTTCTTGCGTGAAGCATGAACCATTTTCCACCCACTGTTAGTCCGCGCAGGCTCCAAGTGAGGTGGGCGTTTGCCCATGGGGTATGAATTTGGCAAAGATGATTCTGAATTAGCTTTAGAGTTCTAAGCCATATATAGAGAACTCTCGGGTGCACAGAAACTTCACCCCCTCAGTTCCACAGAAACCTGAGAAAAGTTGCAGGAAGCCACCAAAGTTGAAAAAATGGAAAAACTTGATCTCCCAACCCCAAGAAATTTCTCGGTTTTTCTCGGGCAATTCTTGGGTTTTTCTCGGATTCCCGGATTTCACTTTTGTGGATATTTCCGCACAAAAGTTGGGGATTTGGTGGTTATATCCTAAGATTTGAGGGCTGAAGTAAACCTCACCCAAGAAACTGAGAGCAGAGTAGAGACCGCGTCACTACTTTCGCAGAGACCGCATCACTTGCACCAGGTTTGCTCGATCAGCCAATCCATGGTCCTGCATGCAGAGACCATGGCTGCATGGGTGGATGGTTTGGATAGGGATGAGGGATGGTCGAGCTATAGGGATGGTGGAGGGATGAGATTCAGGAAGGCAAGAATTCTTGGATCCGAGAATCCGAGAATTCTTGGATCCGAGAATCCGGGAATCCGAGAATTCTTGGAT